ACAATGTTACAGAAGAAAAAGACCTTAGAAATAATCTATTTCAACACATCTATTTATAAATGAGAAAACTAAACTCAGAGATGTTTAATGATTTGTCCTATGTTATACTGAAAATGAGGGAACGTGGTCCAGAAGTCCTTCTGTGTACGCTGATGTACTTATCCATTCACCCGATAGCGTGAAATGAATATTGATTAGGCATTTATGGACAAATTTTAATTTGTTTTTTTTTTTTTTTTTTTTGTAGAGACAGAGTCTCACTTTGTCACCCTTGATAGAGTGCTGTGGCATCACAGCTCACAGCAACCTCCAGCTCTTGGGCTTACGCGATTCTCTTACCTTGGCCACCAGAGTTGTTGAGACTACAGGTGCCCACCACAACGCCCGGCTATTTTTTTTTTATTGTTGCAGTTTGGCCAGGGGTGAGTTTGAACCCGCCACCCTCAGTATATGGGGCCAGCACCCTACTCACTGAGCCATAGGCACTGCCCCTAGTTGTTTAATCTTTAATTGAGAATTTTTCCTAAACAGCCTGTATTTTGTGTATTGATAAACTGCAATTAATTCATGAACACCAAGCAGCATTATTCCTGAGAATTTCAACCTGCACCAGTAATACTGCTTGATAAAGTACTCTAATGCCACTGTTGCCAAATCAGGCCCCTTAAACACCAAGTATTCTAGAGGCTATTGACCCCTCCAGGTTCTTTCCAAGCAAGAATAAGAAAGATAAAGGAGCTGGTCTCTTCTGTAATCTCTAACTAGATGGTTGAAACAAGCAGTTTGCGTTATTATTATATAGCACTTTAGGGATTTTCTTTTTCTTAAATCATTTTACTTTTACAACACTCACAGAAAATAAGTAGGCTATGAATTCTTTACATTTTGGGTTTTGTCTTTTTTGTATGTGTGTGCCTGATCAAACTACTTTGTAACCAAAAGTTTCAAAAAATCACTGTACTATAGTACGTTGCTTTCTAAAATCTAAATCAGAGAAGAGGCTACTGACTACCTCAGAGCTGAGACCACTTTTTATAATTAAGAACGTTTTTGCATGAGTCTGAGACAGGAGGATTGCTTGAACCCAGGAGTTCAAGGCTGCAGTGAGCAATGATTGTGTCATTGTACTCCAGCCCCAAGCTTGGCATAAAGACGAAATCTACTACTTCACCCTTTATAATTTAACTTGTTAAATATCTCATCGTATCTGTCTGTTTCCAAACTCACTGACAGAGTCCTGGGAATACATGAGAAACCATGTGCAAATCATACAAAATTTAAAAAAAGAGAATGAAGGGTGGGTTACCGTTTCTTTAATAAAACTCAGCATATTTACTAAAGAATAACTGCTACTTCAAGAGTGGCCCAGAAAAGAAAAAGCACATTAGGGGTACCTCTGATCAAAAGAGAAATGTATGTGAGTATGATTGAAATTTATGTGCCTGATCAAACTACTTTGATCAAAAGTCTCAAAGTCACAGATGCTGGTGTGGATGTGGAGAGCAGAGAACACTTTTATACTGGTAATGGGACTACAAACTAATACAGCCTTTTGGAAGAAAGTATGGATAATCCTCAAAGAATTCAAGTTAGACCTCCCATTTGATCTTACAATCCCATTGCTGGGCATCTACCCAGAAGAAGAACATTTGCACTAGACTGTTTATCGCAGCTCAATTCATAAACACCAAAATGTGGAAACAGCCTTCATGCCCACCAATCCAGGAATGGATTGACAAGTTGTGAAATATGTATATCATGGAATACTATTCAGCCACTAAAAAAGACAGAGACTTTATATTCTTTGTTTTAACCTGGATGGATGTGGAACACATTATTCTTAGTAAAGCATCACAAGAATGGAGAAATAAGAATCCTATGTACTCAATTCTGATATGGAGACTTTACATTTTTTGTTATTAATCTGGATTGAGTTGGAACATATTCTTCTTAGTAAAGAATCATAAGAATGGAGAAGCAAGAATCCAATATACTCAGTTCTAATATGAAGCCAGTAAACAATCTAATATTTACCCTCATAAGAGAAAAACTCACATCAATTCAAGGTGGGGTGCAAGGGAACAAGGGAGCAGGCAGAGGGAGGAGGAGGGGAATGGGGTGGTCACGGTGTACGGCACACCTCTTAGAGGTGGGACACAACTGTAGGAGGGACTTTACCTAACAAATGCAATCAGTGTAACCTAATTCTTTGTACCCTCAATGAACCCCAAACAATAAAATACACAAATAAAAATAAAACAAAAAGAAAGTTGTCATCAATGTTTCCATTTCTTACCTGAAGGAATAAATTTCATCCAGCCCGTCTTTACCGTCTAAAAACATCATCACCCTTTTCACCATCTGAATACCTTCCTTTTGCTGCTCAGTAATTCCTTTTGGGGGAAAGGAGGGTCCACGGTGGTCCAAGCACAAGTCACCTTCTCCTCTGTCCCCAATTCCATCTTCGTCCCCAATTGGGAAAGGCAAACTATTGGGAAGATCAGCAGTTATAGTTAAGAAGACAAGCTCTGAAGCCAAGTAAACTGGGTTCCGATCCTGTGGCTATCTATCACTCACTAGCTGTGAGAAATGGGCATGTTGGTCAACCCCTGCAAGCTTTAAATTTCTCATCTGTCAAATGACTTACCTCACCTACCAACTGACTGACTCCCCTCTGATTTAGTAAAAGGGGAAAACTGATTGGCTGACATAACCAAATAACTGAAAGGGCGGGGTTGCACAGGGCTACCAGAATCTCAACTGCTTCTAGGATTATCTGATCCTCTCACTCTCTGCATGTTTCACCATTTGCCTTTATGCTGGCTTCACTCTCTCAGACTGACCTCTGCCATACTGCCTCTGCAGGCTCTAGCTCTGCTATTGTCTGAACAGGTCCCCTGGAAGTCATAACCATGATGTGACAGAAGTAAGAAGTGGGGCCTTCAGGAGGTGACAGTCATGAGGGTGGAGAGTTCATGAAGAGAATTAGAGATCTTATAAAAGAGGTTGAAAGGAGTGCCCTTTTTGGCTCGGCGCCTGTAGCTCAACCGGCTAAGGCGCCAGCCACGTACACCTAAGGTGGCGGGTTCGAATCCCCAGCCCGGACCCGCCAAACAACAATGACGGCTGCAACCAAAAAAAAAAAATAGCCGGGCGTTGTGGCGGGCGCCTGTGGTCCCAGCTACTTGGGAGGCGGAGGCAGGAGACTCGCTTGAGCCCAGGAGTTGGAGGTTGCTGTGAGCTGTGATGCCACGGCACTCTGCCCAGGGGGACAGCTTGAGGCTCTGTCTCAAAAAAAAAAAAAAAAAAAAAGGAGTGTCCTTTTTGCTGTATTTGCCCTTCTACCATGTCAGGACACAGTGTTCACCCTTTTTGCCACATGAGCATGATGAGGTCATAGCAACAAGGTACCATCCTGGAATCAGAGATCCTTTTCCAGATCTGTGATCTTGGACTTCTCAGCCACCAGAACTGTAGAACTAAATTTGTGCTGTTTATAAATTACCCGAGGTAATGGTAATTACCCTACGTGGATGATTATTTTTAAGGCACTTGCTCTATCATTTTATTTGCTATCCTTAAAACAGTGCTTTCTTTTTAAATCTTTCTGCGTACACTTAGCATGACTGATTTGTATGCCCTGTATTGCCTATCAGATAAAAATCTTCCAGGGAGCCAAGTATGGCACACAGGGCTTGCATCAGGCTATTCTTATTTCCATAGCATCAACCAGGAATGGAAAAAATGACACAGACATGAAGGTCAGGAAGTTACTCTGGAAAAAGAAGTTATAGTATCAGTTCTTTACCATGCATCAGACCAGAGATAAGCTTTCTCACTTGTCAGTAGAAGAAACTAAAGACTACGTCCAAGAAATAAGCCTGCTCAGAATACAGGACGGCTGTGAACTGTTGGGGTTTTTTTAGTCCAACTAGAACAAATCCATCAATAAAACCATAAACTCTACTTTGTATGCTGAAGATTTGTAGCACAAAAAGAAAACACATTACCCACGGGAGGGAAAACACAATCAGTCAAATAAATAAGTAGAAGGAAGGCTGTGTTTCCTCTTCTTCACACTTTTCTATATTGCTCAAACAAGAAAAGAGTAGCCCTTTCAATGACACTGATAGAAGTGCACTCTGCTTCAACCATGTAGAGGCATCCTGAGATTATGAATGGGAACTGAAGCTGAGCTAGGCTTCTAAAGTACTTAGAAAACTCCAAGTCTGTAAGAAGTGTCACTTAAAAAGTACTTAATTTCTCTGAAGTACCATCTCAACAAGCATCAGTTTGATGGGTTATTCTGAACAATTTTTCTATCGTCCTACAGAAAGGAGATGTCCCTCAGTGGCCTTAAGAGGTGCACACATGCAAGAGAGCATCTTAATTCCCCACGAAGGCATTTTAAGAAGCCAAGGGCACACCACTCTGAGAGAGGCTTCTTGGTATAGGTCTCAATTTGAAAAATGAGTGTCCCCAGGAGATTAATAATTCAATATCCTACACCATCACTCTGCTTGCACCTAAAATAGAATAAGAAAAAAAAAATAGGTTTCAAATGCAGCAGGAAGAATTAGTATAGGGAAATGAAATTTTTCTTAGAGATATAAGAGAAAGTAAATGCTGGAGAGAAAATGCAAGTATTTAGTGAGAGGAGGAACTCTGTCCCTAACAAGTTGTGAAATATACATATTTTCCCTAAATTTGTTACCCCATCTCTAAATACACATAAGCAAATTATACTTTATGTGTGTTTTCATCTTTTGTTCTGAAAAAGAGTTAAATATGAACATTTTATGTGTTTAAAATGATCCTGTCTACCCTAAAATACCCATTGTCATAGGACACAGTTCTTCAGCACTGTTTTGTTTTGTTTTTGTTGTTGCTGTTTTAGAGACAAGGTCTCACTTTGTTGCTCAGGGATCAGAGCAATGATGTGATCACAGCTCAATGCAACCTCACACTCCTGGGTCAAGTGATCCTTCTGCCTCAGCCTCCTGAGTAGTTGGGACTGCAGGTATGAGCCACCACGCCTAGTCTCTAGTGTTATTTAAGAAAAGAAACCATCAATCTGGTAATTGTTAGATAAAGTCTTCTATGTAGGAAGGAGATCAAGTAAATAGCCTCAAAAGACTGTCTACACTGGATCTTAGCCAAAAAGCCAAGTAGCAATAAAAGATCCTTCTAATTCCCCAATTCTTTGAGTCTCAGAACAGTGAACAATGATCTGCTACTGAGCTCAATGCCTCTGTATAACTGTGACTTCCATCTCTTTGTCACCAAAACTCAGAATAGTTCTTAGAATACAGAGAGTAATCAGTAAATGTTTGTAGAGTTGTATCTGTCATATGACGGATTCCAACTCACAGCAGAAAGATAACTAAGTGCTTCATGAACCAAACACTCTGTAAAGGGCTCTTACTCACTGCATTACGAGATCACAGGATTTGTTATTCTCAGGATCTTACAAGAACTGCAGGGAGATGTCAGACTTCTTCAAGTTATGCATTATAATATCCAGCTGGTCTTTGCTGAATGGACTGCTGAGATCAGTGAATACTTCAATATGCCTTTTCTCAAACTTCTTTCCTCTAAAAGACAGAGTTATCATGTTAAGAAATCATTCTCCTGAATTATTTGCTGCAAATTCAAATACATTTGGTCATTGAGTGGAGAGAGGTTAAGGAATGAACCTAGGGAAGGTTAATAAATGTGATTACATCCTGGAAGTATATTTATTGTTGATAGTTAAGTTCTTATTAAACACATAATTGACCTTGGGATACGTTATACTTTGAATATTGGGTTAAACTTCTCAACATTATGGAAATATTATATTCCTGAATTCCTAACTCTATTTCAGCTTAGAGACGTGGTCACTGTGATTAAAAGAGATCCCTTTCCAGCCTCCACAGAATGTGAACAAAGAATAGGCAGGATGTTTATAAGGAATTTTCTCAGTGTACTATAGCTTCAGAACTGCACTTAATTGATACTCACTTTCCAAATGCCTTGCTCCAATTCCACACATAGCACTAGTGGTAGATTTTGCAAAGGTCATACAGAGATTGAGAAGTATTTCAGATTTAGGCCTGGAATTTTAGCACATATCTTTTCCCTAACAGGCAAGCGTATGTGTGTGTATGTGTGCATGCATACACATGTGTATTCAAAGACACACATTTTCAAGGCACAGCGATTAAGTAAATAATGGATTAGGAAGTTGGCCAGTTACTATGCCAAGTCACTATACAGTTACTATCAACTACATATGGATCATACCACTTAGCACTGTAAAAAATTCCTGCTGATTAGCTTAAGTCAAATAGGAAAGGAACTGAAATAAGCCAAACATTTATTTCTCCCAGAGAAACTCCAACCAAATACAGCCTTTCCTCTTTTAAAACATTTAAAAAACAGGAAGGTTGAATAGAACCATCAAATTCTGTCAAATGTTTCTTAAGCCACACAAATATATTGCTGGATTAATAATGAATCAAACAGCGCGCTGAATACATCAACCCACACAATTTTTGCAGAAAGGCTCATTTCCAACTCTTCAGAAGAGATACTTACACAGTCTCACGCTGAATCACATCCATGCACACGATCAGTGCATCCAGGACTCAGCTAGTTAAGGGCAAAGATATAACCAAACAATGCCTTCATCCCACAAACACATAATTTTTTTCCAGCAAAGTCCACAGTGATGAAAATTGTGGCCCTTCGGCTTTGTGATGACTTAACTACACGCCCAAGTGCCGTTCTTCTGCCGGTCATTTCACTAACACAGTCACATTTTCCATGTATCAAAGTATATGTCCTGACACATCCAACTAAAAAGAAAATAAACAAGAGGCAATCTAATACATTTCACTCATTTAACCAAAAACTATGATGCCCTTTAACAGTATCTAGAATCGACTTCTGATGATTACAGTCCATTCTTGAATATAAAGTTAGCTACACTGTGGTATTTGCAAGTCACACCCAACACAGCAGCACCTCCCAGTGATCAGGGACAGCAATGTTAACTGCTTAGAAAAATAACAAGAGAAATCTCTTCAACTTAGGGCAACTGTGGAAGAAATCAGAAATCTCACAGCTTGGGTATCAATCTGATTTCTGGCATAAAAACATCCTCTATCCAAAAAAGGGTGGAGAATGCTAATGCCCTACCCTCTTAAAAATTTCCTTTTCTCGTCCTCCCAACATCTTCCTCTTCCCATGTCTCCCAACCTCCTAAAGCCACTAATGCAAAGAAGAGGGATGTGATGGAAGGGTCTGAAGCCCAGGCACTTAACCTGATTAATTTATCATTAAATCCTAGTACATACCACTTCCCCATCCTCAGAGTAAAATATAACCACCTCCCCAGAGCTGGGACTCTGGGGATGTCTCATCAAACTGTATGGTGCCCAGATTAAAGGAAATGTCTTAAAAGTCTTCTCTGATTGAAAAAGGATACAATCAGCTTGTTGAGAACCTGGCTGGATTTTGCTTTCGATGTCCTCCAGCAAATCAAAATCTGGCAGCCTTAAGTGTCTGTGCACTGTGATGTTCTGATACTGATCGCCATCAGCAAGGGCATTCTTAGTGCCATCTGTACCAAACAGGACTAGCGCAATCTCATCCTTGCTCTCAGCAAACACCTAGAGAAGAATGTCAGAAGGCTGAAAATGATATAAGAACAACTTACAAGCCATAAAATACCTAACCTTTAGGGAACAGGATAACTGTACTGCCCTGTGGTATGTCTCTGAGCCATAGAATTCTGGGCTTGAATGAAACACAGGACTTGTGGATGAAAATTCTAGGTTCTAAGCAGACATTTCCATTGACTATAACTCCCACCCTTCCTTTCAGCACTGTTCAGTTGGGATGAGGGAACAACTGGGTAATAACTGCTCCTGATAACTTCAGCCAGATTAGGCTCTCAGTGACAGCTAATCATATATAACTTGAAGAGAGTTTAGTCTGTCTTTCTGGAATATCTAGCCAAAGTTTAAATTTTCCAGAGATTAAAAAAAAAAAAAGTTTCACCAATTTTCCAGAGATTTAAAAAAAAAAAAAAAAACTTGCACAGGGCACAGTGGCTCACACCTGTAATCCCAGCACTGTGGGAGGCTGAGAAGGAAGAATTGCTTGAGCTCAGGAGTTTGAGACTCACCTGAGCGCGAGTGAGACTCTGACTCATGAAAAAACCCAGCCAGGAGCCACAGCAAGCACCTGTAATCCCAGCGGCTTCTGGAGGCTGAGGCAGTGGGATGCCCACAGCCTGAGTCTGAAATTGCAGTGAGCTATGACGCCATTGCACTTTGCTCAGGGGCATGGGGGGGACTCTGTCTCAACAACAACAAAAAAAAAGCAAAGAAAAAATAACCAAGGAAATAAAATAAAAATATAAATAAACCCCCCAAAAAACTAAAAAAAAAAAAGTTTCAGGTTTACAGCTGATATCCCAGCAATTTCACTGATAGGTATATGCAGTATACCCTACAAAAATTCTTGCACACAAATGCAAGGAGGCAATGAATAAGATGGTTTATACTTCAGCACTGTTTATAACAGAGTAAAAACTAGAAGGAAATTATCAGCAGAAGAATGCAAAAATGCACTGCAGAATATTTATAGAAGGGAAATTACACCCCATTAAAAGAAAATTTGTGCAACATTTATCAACATGAATACATTAGGTTGAGAAAAAAATAAGTTGCATAATTATACGTACCATATAAAACCATTTAAACACACTTGACAGCTTCAGACAATACCAAGTATTATCCATGAATACATACTTATGTCTAATAGCATAAAATATACAAAGTCCTAACTACCAAAATCCCGATGAAAGGAAGAAAAGAAGAGGGGAAAAACAATTGGGAAACGGCTTATCGTTTAACTACAATACTTTATTTTAAAGAAAAAAGAAAAAGAAATCAAACAAATATGATAGCCCAAGACAGTTTGAAAATAAGTTTCCTATGTATTATCCTCTGTATTTGCCTATTTTATGAAGCATTTCATAACAAAATATTTTTTCAAAAGTATCTGACACAAAAGGCACTTATTATTAACCTAAGCCTTTCACATTGGTGGGGAAGAGTACTGTAGGAGGACAAAATGGAATTCTGTCATTCTTCATTTTTGTCTGGCATATTGCATGCTCTTATCTATAAACAACTCCACCTAAAATTTGCAGTTGTACATGGAGTAAAGGTCCCTGCTGCTGGAGTTTAACCATGTCTAGCATACTGGATGAGCAGGTGTCTGCCTCCTAGATAAGAATTCATCCTAAGACTAGGTGTGATGGCTCACACCTGTAATCCTAACACTCTGGGAGGCCGAGGCAGGTGGATCACTTAAGCTCACAGGTTTGAGATCAGCCTGAGCAAGAGTGAGACTTCGTCTCTAAAAATAGCCAGCCATTGTGGCAGGCGCCTGCAGTACCAGCTACTCGGGGGGCTGAGGCAAGAGAATCACTTAATCCTACGAGTTTGAAGTTGCTGTGAGCTATGATAACACGACACTCTATCGAGGGCAACAAAGTGAGACTCTGTCTCCAAAAAAAAAAAAAAAAAGAATTCATCTTAAGGCAAGGTAATCTTGCTGTAACAATAAAACTTCAGACATGGGAGCAGGAGATATTTTGAGTGCATTATGGGACTGGCTTTGTCCCCCAGTCTTCCAGATTCAGACTCTTTCTCATCTTAAAATACAGAAAACTATGCTATATTGGGGCACAACTATAATACTTGAATACCACCAACACAGCTATAACCAGAATGGGGTTAGCATGCCTCAAGGACTCAAGGTCATCAGATTTGTGAAAGTCAAGGATGACAACTGGGAGTAAATAGTGCCCAGTGAAAGTGTCAAGACCCAGAAGAAACAGTAGAGGTGTCCAGGCTACTGTCCAGAAATAGCAATACCCAGTGAATGAAGTAGGACCTCATGGAACGGGAAAAACCATCAGTCATATCAAGTAGAAGTGGCAGAAATAATAAAAATACTAGCTAACACTCACACAGTAATTACAATATGCCAAGCACTGTTCTAAACACTACCTACATTAAATCTTTTGCTACATATTCTTCAAAACAACCCTATGTGACAGGTATTATTATTTTCCTCATTTTACACATGGGACACTGAGGCACTACGGTAGATAGGACCCAAGATAGTCACCAACCAGTCCATCTCTCCTTGTATCTGGAGGCTACTCTTTATAAAACGTGGGGGAGTCAAACTCCCCTCCCTTGAATGTGAACTGGCCTTAGTGACTTGCTTGACTAATACAAAACAACTTTCCAGAATTTCTAAAGCTAGATCACAAGAAGCTATGCAGGCAGGATCTCTTAGAATACTCACTTTTAGAACACTCCTTCTTAGAACCAGGCACTACACTGTGAGAATCCCAAGCTATGTGTAGGGGTTCTGATGGACAGCCTCAACTGAGCCAAAGGCACCAGAAGGCATAATCTTCCAGCCATGTGAATGAACCATCTTAAGCATCCAGCCCCGCTGATTCCAGGTCCAGCCACCATTTGATTGAAACTGTGTAAGAGGCCTCGAAAGAGTCACTCAATGGAGCCCTCCCATTCATCCCACAGAACTACTGAACAATGACTTTTTTTAAAATATGTAATTCAAGACAGTAAATTTTGGGAGAGTTTGTTATATGGCAAAGGATAAATGAACTAGGCACAAAGAAGTTGAAGGACTTATCCAAGATCAAGAGGTTAGCAGAGCAAGGACTCAAAACCCAGACAGGCTATCTGGCTCTAAAGATTGTGCTTTTAAATATTATTTTATACTATCTCTTGTTTCTGATAAAAAAAAAAAAAAAAAAACCAAAAAACAACACAGTATCAGATGGAAGAGCCAGAATGAGGAAGAAATGTTTCAGGCTTTAGTGATGGGTGGACTTTGCATATGAGCATGTAAGAAAACTCCCCAGACTCCCCAGTGAGGGAGGGCACTGTAAGGAAGCTGTATCTTATGTTAGTGAGTGGAGGACACAAGCCGGCTTATAAGCTCAAGATCAATCTGAAACTTACCTGTCGCTGAATGAACATGGTTATCACCTTCTTTGCTTGTTCAAATGGGGATTCTTCACCAGGATAGGAGTTCCCCATGGCAAAGCCCACATCCATACATAACACAACAGCTGCCTGGAAACAAAGTCCCAAAAAGTGTTTGAGAAAGTAAGTCATAAAAATAGGCTCTGAGATGTGTCCCTTGCTTACTGCAATCACAAAACCTATATTGGCATTTAAGAGAGGTGGGACAAAGGGAAAGGACATGTTCTACATGAAGACCGTGTGTAAGACATATACATTTTACTATGGAAAATGCTTACATAGCCCTGATACTATTTGATCTAGAAAGTATCTGCCAGGAGAGGAGTATCCTCCAGGTAGCTGCCACTTCTTTGGCCTGAGCCCCAGAATAAACCCATGGTGATTAGATATGAAATCATCCTATAGGTCAGAGTTAAGTCCAGCCCAGCTGAGCCAAACACTCACCAGACCTGCAGTTGCTTTGCAGGCCAACTAGCATGAGAATAGATACTTTTGCTGTGTCACTTACTTAGGGTGTAGTCTGTTAGGAAGCATTTTTGTGTCAAGAGGTGAGTGCTACAATCTATATATGCCAAAATGGTACACCCCAACAATGAGTCAATTTGTAAACTGGGCATCTAAAATAAAGACTAAGACACCAAATCTATTCTACACATAACAAAGACATATAACAAATAATGCCAGTGCAATATTCCATAACAGGTATACAGGAGGTACTAAGAGAGACACAGGAGCATCCACCCAAGACTAGTGGAGGGAAAAGAGGAGAGGTAAGAAAGGCTTCCTGAATACAGACTTCTGGAATGAGTCTTTTTTTTTTCATGTATACATTAAAGCATTTACGGGGTACAATGTGTTGATTTCATATAGAATTAGGAATGCTTACATCACACTGGTTAATATATACCTCATCTCGTTTACTTAGTTATTGTGTTAAAACATTTAAACTCTAGACTAATAGATCTGACATGTACCCTTGCATTATGCACCATTGGTGTGATCCCACCATTCACCCTCCCTCGATCTCACCGTCCCCCCTTCATCTTGGGCCATAGTTGTAATCTATTCTTCATATGAAAGTGTGAGTGATTGTAAATTGGTTTCATAATACTACTGAGTACATGGGATATTTTTTCTTCCAACTGAATGAATCTTAAAGAATGATTGGGAGTCAATCATGTGAACAAGAAAGTTACAGACAGAGGGAACCACATAACCAAAGGCACAAGTCATTAGAAAGCAATCACATACATAGGGAAGGAAATAAGGAAACTAAAAGTACAAGTGATGTATGTAAGTTCCATACTTGACATCCAAAATTTAACTGAATACAAGTTAAAGAAGACCTGAACTGATGGCAACCCACTTTTAGAGTGGATTAAAAAATGAATTAGCAATACAATGACCACAGCACTCCATCACCCCAAATATTTTAGGTTGTTTCAGCAATGCACTGAATTCAAGAAGGAAAAGAAGGGTTTATGGAGAAAAAGACTAGACTAGGAATCTGAAAACCTAGACTCTAGACCCATTTCTATTACCAATTAGCTCTGAGGACTTGGGAATGTCACTTAATCTTATTGTTGATTCTAGGAGGCAGGAAACTATTTAATTAGGTAAGGTTTAAGGTCATCTTCAGAATATCTCTTGACTCTGACAGTCTTCCCTGTGCTTTGTACTCATCAAACTATGAGCAGTTCTAGGTATCATATCTTATGACAAAAATTACAAGTGACCATGATATGGAGATGTTAGAGAAGGCTCTGAACAATGTGTAATATAAAGAACAATTGGGGCTCGGCGCCTGTGGCTCAAGCGGCTAAGGCGCCAGCCACATACACCTAAGGTGGCGGGTTCGAATCCCCAGCCCAGACCACCAAACAACAATGACGGCTGCAACCAAAAAATAGCCGGGCGTTGTGG